CTGATTTACAGGTTTGTATAATTGTATGTTCGCACGAGCGAACACGAGCAATCATACACGAATGCTCGCTCATGCTCGCTTGTGCTCGCTTTTTTGGTGAATACGCACCTTTAGACAGCGAACGATATGGGATTCACAACTGATCGAGATCAACGTATTGAAAGCGAATGTTGCCACGTTTTTCGGTTTTCCGTGTTATGTACACAATATATTTATTTTGTGAAATATTTAAAATCGAAAGGGTGCTAAGAACAACATTTTGCAAAAGGAGGCATACTGCCCCCTTGCGCCTCGTGGCGCCGCCACTGTCCACACGTTGTTTTTAACATATTTTTTTCCTGCGGCAAGTATTGCATTCGATCAAAAAAGTAGTTAGATTTTCTCTAACAAGGGAAAATAAGCCCTTCAAGTTACTTTCGCGGCATAAACGAGTTGTTTATGTTCATAACATCTAAATTTCACCATGGAAATTCAACTAAAAATGCTAAAACACTATTCGACATATGTCTCATCATTTTGATGGAGTTCTAACTTGTCTCTTATTAAATTACAAATAACGCTGTGGACACTATCAAGCTGTTTGATTTCAACACCACAAAACAATAACTTTTTTCTGAAAAACTGCTCCAGGGTATCCTAGAGCAGTTTTCCATCAGTAACAATGTTACTGTAACAAAAAATCATCTTCAGCGATGAGGCCCAATTCTGAAAGAATGTGTACGTGAACGAACAAAATTGTCGAATTTGGAACGATATATACCAATTCACGGATCCAAGAGCGTCTAATGCATCCCAAAAAAGTCACATCGGTTCGTATCTCTTTTCGAACGACGATGGCCAGGCCACCGCTGTCAACGGCGAGCACTATAGGTCGATGATTACCAGCTTTTCCGGACACCAACGACATGTAGTTCCAACAGGACGGTGCTACGTGCCTATAGTTCATGGAACATTGGATATTCTACATGAGCGATTCAAGGGCAGAGTATCTGTATCTGTAGAGTCGGGAGGGTGAGGGTAGACCCACAGCACCTAGGCCACATGTGACCCATTGTATATCCTCTCGAGGAGTGGTCCTCCTAGGTCATCGTCTATCCCGTTCTTTCCAGGAAGGTGGACAGGTCACTAGGAAACATCTCCTTTATATTGGCAGTGTGGCCAAGATTAGCCGAACACACTCTCTTTGGCAACTTTGAAATATCTCACGGTGGCCTTCGCGAAGGTTTTGGAAGGTGCAGCGACATTACTGTCGTTGCGCGGCTTCTTCAACCTTTTTGGGGTTCTCTCCATGGAGGTGCACAAGTGAGGGAGCTTTTCTGCAGGGGCAGCCTGTTCCTTGCCTTTATTCAAGGCGGAGCTCTTGGCGCCCGTCGCAGGAAGTGCCCTTGCTGTTGTAGGTGAAATAGGGGAGGAGGAAGGTGCACTCACAGTTGCTGCCACTCCTGTCTCCTTTGCTCTCTTTCTCCTTTTGGTCTCGGCGTCGCAAATGCGCTTACTCCTTGGCCTTTGTATTGCATCACGAGGTGATCTGCTATACTCAGCCTCATTCCAAATGGTAGATTGGGAAGGAGACTCTGTTTTTTCTCCTACGAGTAGCAAGGGAAGAGTTGGTCACCTCCAGCAGAGCCCGCATTACCAGAAGTAGGCTAATTATAATGACGTTTTGCCCAGTTCCCCAAGAGGATCCATAACCGCATATCACCCTGCGCCCATTCATCTGTCGGCACGATCCCTTTCACCTGAGCTTGGGTAGGCTGGTCCACGGTGGCATGTTTCGCAAAGGCTTTTGGGGAGTTTTAGTTCCCCTCACCCTACTCATTCTTGCCACTGACCAGGGGCCTATAACACAACCACTACAAGTCTAACAAGTATGTAAATGAATTATACAAATACAAGAGTAGATATTCTGTAACATAAAGTAACTTGTAGTTACTAGTGGGGCACTGGTAATTACGGGACTTTCTCTACAATTGTCGACAATTGTAGACAATTTTCTACCTATCTTGATTGATAAGTAGATTGAGCGTACTAGTGTAGTGAAGTCTTTCATCGTGAGCGTATATCTATAATTCGACTGTCGATATGTGGTCAAACGATTCGGATAGTGAAAACGAAAATGGTCGTGCAGTATATCGCTATCGGGAGAGAAGTAACTTTATCATACTGACAGACGGGGAATTTGTCGAAAGGCTGAGACTTAGTCGACAACACTGTCAAAGTCTTCTTCAAGATATAGGTCCAGCCATAGCGAATATAACGATTCGAGGGTATGGCTTGTCACCATTAGAGAAACTGCTTATTGCTCTGCATTGGTTTGGAAACGGAGGGCAATACCATGGAGTATCAAAAATGACCGTATGACCGTATGTGTTCACGAAGTTACTGCTGCCGTAAACAAAATAAAATTTGATGTATTAGTTCGATGGCCCGACAATACAGGGAACGTAATAGAACGTTTTCATAATTTGGCAGGATTTCTTGAAGTTTGTGGAGCTGTAGATGGAATCCTCATAAATATCGATGCCCCCACAAACAACGAACCTGTTTACGTCGATCGCCATGGGAAGCATTCCATCAACTGCATGGCTGTATGTGGGCCTGACTTGAGGTTTTATTATATAAGTGCAAATTGGCCCGGAAGTGTGCACGATTATTATATTGAACATATTTTGTGCAAGGTAAGAATCCTCAGAAAGATAAAAGCAAAAAAATGTTTATATTTTTCAGTTCTCTTACACCAGGCAAAAACTAATTACGAATTGGAAATAGAATCTTTGAAACAAGCTCAGCGAAAGAATGAACAAAATCAGAAGGAAGCCTTCGAAGCTTGCGATAGGCTATTTGAAGATTTCGAAGATATTAAAAGGCAAATGAAGGGAATTCCTTTGGATATAAATTGGTCCAAACTCAAGGTATATTTGATCCTTATTTTTGTGATATAAATAATTTGTCCAAAAACATCTTTTGAGAACTCAAAGAAAATATCTATCATAATAACACTGACCAAAAACTCACTTTAACCGTAGGTTGTTAATGGACTGACACCTATCAGAAAATAACTACTACCCTGGCTAATACCATGAAGGGCGTTGGATTATATCCGACAGTTGTTTGTGCAGGATTTTTCACAGAAGCAATTCATGCATATGCTGTTGGTGATACAACTGTCGGAATTGATTTTAAACTATTAGAACGGGCGCACTTGCAGATCTGTTCCAATAATTAACCTGCATGTTTCACTTCTTGAAATTAATATTTGAAAGCTTCAATGAAGTTCCTTGAAAAAATTGAAAAGTTTTATTTAGCACAAAGGCTTTTAAAAATTGAAATAGCAACCAAACATTTTTGCAAGCATTTCCATAATGTTATTCTCCGAATATAATCTATATAATAATAATTTTTGTTAATTTGCAACTTACATTTGCACACATTAGGCATTAATAAAATCAAATGAATCGCTTGAAAAATTTCCAAAAATATTTTGGGGAATCTAATTGTTGATAAAACAACGATTTGAATGAAGTCATTCATACATTTTTTCAATGCTCATTTAAAGTGTTTTTATAATTCTGAAAATATTGAATGAACAGTTTTTTGTAAACATATGAATGTTTGCTATTTACAAATAACTTTCATAAAAAATAATACATATCTGTTTTTCTATCAAAAATGTGTCTGTTCACAACGAATCGTTTGTTTAATGAACAAAAAAACATTAATAATTTTTTTCGGAACATGAATAAACACCATGATGATTAAAAAAATATTCCCTCAATGTAAATTGATATTCAGCAACAAGAAGTCAAATAATAAAGACAATCCCTGATTTTTTTAAGGAACCTTATGTTTATTGAAAGAAGTAGTGATTTCAATTCAAAATATTTCCAATTGTTCGAATGGATTTTCAAATATTTTCAAACGTGCTGATCAGCTGAAAACGAATGTTTTAGCACGATACCTAAGTCTACTTTGAAAATGAAGAAAGTTTAATTTTATACCGATATTACAGATGAAATCTTCAAGCATTGTTATGACCCAATCCTATCACTTCAATGAAAATCATCAATATTAGTTCATCTCAAAAATCGCACGTTGAACAGATAGCGATAAGTCACACTTTCATTATATGTGGGTATAGACCAATGCTTCCGCACAGTAAATAATATTTTTGCAGAATGGAAAGTTTTCAATCCTACCCATATGTTTATAAATATGTTAATGTGTCTCAGATGAATAATTTCAGACCCACCTCTCAAATAGATAACTGCCAAATTATTTGATTAAGGCCTTGAAAATCGTCCCATTGAACTGGCATGTAATTCGGATTTACCAAAAAATCAAATACTGTAAATGCTTGTTTTTTTTATAAACCAGTTGATTCGGAGGACTTCGTACCGCCTCAGGATTGATTAATGTGTAAAAGTTCAATAACTAGAAATTTGCAGAAAACAAACGAAAAATACGATTCTTGATGAAAAAATACATATACGTTGTATCTGTAATTGTTTAACATTATCCAAAAACTATCATGGAATTATATATTGAAAGTGGGCATGAAATTGTCGTGCACCATACGACGTCAATTGAAACCAAATGTTATATTTTTGAATACTTGTGATGCACTGTTTGGAACCTTTAGTGTAGTAGTATTAGTAATATTACTACACTAAAGTGGTAATTGATTATTATTAGACATTTATCCCAACACCAAACCGTAATTTTAACACCTTGACACGCGTTTCGATCATCAAGTGATCATTTTCAAGAGGAAGATCAAACTGTTTTCGCTCGTTGAAGATCAAAGTGTTTGATCTTCCTCTTCCTCATATTTTCAATGTTTGCCAAGAAGTGTTCAGAATCGTTTTCCATCCCGTAAATTAATTAACGTAATGGTTCAGGTGGTGGGACCAATTGAGGCAATTTTACTTTTCCACCAGCACAACATAATCTAGATTCAATTTGATATTCATTGCATCAACGATTTGAATAAAGAAGCAGTGTTGAGGCTGGAATGATTTAATGATATTGAAGTAGTCAGTGATCATTTCTTTTTCTTTTTATCTCCCTTCTTGTCTTTGCCTTTTGCCTTCGTCTTCTTATATGGACCTAACTTCTTTCGAAACATGACGCTTCGCCACCAAGCCTGAAATATCAGTTAGAAAATTCCAGAGACGTCAAGAATATATGGTTGTTTCAAAAGTTTATTCCGTTTCAATGTCAAGTGTGTTTGTGGCTCCATATCTCAATAAATATTCAGTCTGCTATGTCGTGGTATACAGTGTGTAAAAGCCGAATGGATTAAATTCACTATTTAAGTAACTGTACACATTTTAACAAAATCCCGAAACACGTTAAATTTAAATTATAATTCAACATACTTCAACAAAAAAACGTTACCCCTACTTCCAACCCCCGTCGAATGACAGGTACAACCCCCAATTTTTTAATGGAAAGTATAGGCTGGTGATTTATCGCTTGAAAAGTCTTTTCATTCTCTATTCAAAAATGTTATCGCTTTCGAGAATATTGCAACAATTAAGATGAAATAAACTGAAATCATGTGGTTTCCAAAATTAGATAAAATAAACTCAAAACTTATTGCAATATACTCAAAACTCATTTCATGCTGGGGTATTGATAATAATAAAGTAAACAAAAACCATAGCAATGTTCTGTTTAGATGATATCCTTTGAAAAACTGTAAATAATTTCAGTGGCAACGTAAGTTTAAAACGCCTTGTCGACTTGTTTTGTATGTTACAACATTAGTTGTCAGTATTTAAAATTTGAAGTTCGTTCACTCCAAGTCTGACAAATGGTTAAATTAACGGATATGCATAACAGTTTTACAAATGATTGGTTACGGACATACAACCTGAACACAACAGGAAGTAGCTCGCCTATTTCATGAGAAATTTCAAAATCTAGCGCCCATATCTCAAGGAACGGTTAAGCAAAATACAGAAACAGTTTCTCCAGCTTGGTCATGTGGGACAGATAAAAAAAGCAGCTGCCAATGCAATGAGCGATAAACTCAAAATTGATGTGATGTTTGAGGAAAACCCATATACATCGAATAGACAGGCATCCACTACATTCAACGTTAGTTACTTTATCGCTTAATGGTCATGGTAAACGGCAAAATTGCCGCTACTAGTCAACGGAAAAGCCTCACTGGATAAGAGAACACACTTAATACCCTCAAAAGGTTACTTTTTGGGCAGGGATTGTAGGAAACCCTTTTTCATTGAGGGCAACTTGAATGGCGATAATTTTTTGGCACTACTTCGAAATGATGTCATTCCAAGTTTAGTAAATTCATATCCTGATCCAGGAAACTCTCAAGTTCCAGTGAATACAATATGGTTCCATCGGAATGGAGCACCACCACATTACCAAGTTAATGTCAGTCAATACCTCGATATAACATTTCCCAATCGGTGGATAGAGAGGCGAGGATCGATTGAATGGCCAGTACGATCACCTGATCTTTCACCATTAGATTTTTTATGAGAATATGTAAAGAGCAATGTGTGCAAAACTAAACCTTCAGATTTGAATGACCTAAAAGAACGAATAACGCATGTGATTAGGTTGTTCACGCCTGATATGTTAAATAATGTAAGAAGATAGTTTTAATTGAGATTTGCGGCGAACATTTTCAACATCTACTTCGTTAACATCCATAGTTTCTTGTCTTATTTTACATTTCATTACGTTTTGCATTACATTTTAGTTTTTGAGTGTATATTATCGAATTTCGGTAATCACATGATGTTAATTTATGTTATTCTAATTGTTGCAATAAACTTGAAAGCAATATCATTTTTTAATAGTGAATAGAGAGTTCTTTCAAACGATATATCACAAACCTATACTTCCCATTTTAAAAATTAAGGGTTGTCCCTGTCATTTGAAAGGGGTTGAAATTAGGGATGGCATTTTTACGTTGAAGAATGTTAAATTAAAATTTACATTTGAAGTATATCGTGTTTTTTTTAAATATGTACACTGTAACCGAAATAATGGATTCATTCCATTTGGCTTTTACACACTGTATACTGATCGATAGATGATTTTGTAGTATATACATTGATGCTGTTAATTTTTTCAAATTTTCGTTTTGCTTCTTCTGAGCTTATTACTATATGATGACGTCAAGTGATTGTTGCCCAACTCTTTTCTACAAATTCCAATTGAACCAAGGCGCTGCCAAAACATATCGAAAAATCAACTAGGCATTTGGCAATGATAGTGTTTATGAACGCACTGTTCGACGTTGACTTGCGAAATTTCGTTCCGGAGGTGTTAGCGTCGAATATGAGCCCTGAAGTGCTCAACCAACATCAATCCAGGACGAGGATTTGAGGACCCTGGTGAAGACAGACCCATCACAAACGGTGCGTGAGACGGCGGAAGAACTGCTCCCTTCCATTTTTTATGGTTTAAAACGTATTGGAAAGATCAAAACGCTCGAAAACTGGGTGCCTCTCGATTTGAACGATGGATAGAAATGGTCACGTTTCGAATTATGTTCTTCTTTGCTTCTACGCAACCAGAATGATCCTTTTTTGAGTCGGATCTTCAAGAGAGGATCCTCTGAAATAACGGGAGACGTTCAGGACAGTGGTTGGATACCGATGAGCTACCCAGGCGCTTCCCAGAGGCAGAAATCCACCAAAAAATTATCATGGTTGCTGTATGGTGATCAAAGGCTGGTGTGATTCACTATAACTTTCTACAACCAGGCCACACCATCATAGCAAATGCCTATTGCGAGAAAATTGACGAAATGTATAGAAAACTGTGTCGGCAGCAGCTGGCACTGGTCATCAGAAGAGGCCCAATCCCTCCATGACCACGTCCGTCCGCGCGTTTCACGAATCACCGTCCGAAAATTAAACAATTTGAACGTCTAAGTTCTACTTCACCCACCATACTCCCCAGACCTCTCGCCAACCGACTAGCATCATTTCAAGCACTTCGATATCTTTCTCACTGGTGAAGCCTTCCCCAAACAGGACCAAATGGTGCTTTCTTCGGTTAAATTGAATGAGTATTCACTGAGATATTACTGTTTGAAGTGGACTCATAAAAATAGACAAAAAACTTTCGAAGCAACCCAATATTTTTTGTCAAATTCACCTGTATTTTCCTTGCAGCCCGTTGTTCCATTTGTATACGATCTTCCTTCTCTTTTTTCAGTCGTTTATACTCCAACCAATCCTCAATTTCTGCCTTGCGAGTTTCGTAAGTTTTTTTGAGAGTTGCGTGAGAATCTGTGATTTTTTCCAAATCGGATTTGAGATTCATCATTTCTGTTTCTCGTCGTTCAATCTCTTCATCGTAATGTTTAATCCAATACTGAATCTGCTCAGACAAATCCTATAATATCGACAATAATGTCATGATTGGAACCAATTACAGTTTTTCATGAATGTGTAACAAATATATTGAAAATGAAGAATTGAAATATTTCATGTAGGTATTACAAATTTGCTTTCGGCAAAATATTCTATTCATCCATAGAACTTTTATGGTATGAAAAAAAATCAGTTGAAAAATATATCCTTGAGTAATATTACATAGAACAGTTTCTATTGATCTATTTCATGAAAATTGCTGTTTTACTAACACCTAATTATGGAAAACATTAGTCAACAAAGCTCTCAATGTCACTCTAGACATTTTTTTTTTCAACGATGTGAAAAAAATTATGTTCACATATTATTTGTAATGACCACGGCTCGGGTGGGAGAAATATGGTACAATCTTGAAGATATAATAAAGAAATAGTTTTTTGTACTTTGAAAATGTCTACTCCATAATAGGACCTACTCTTTTCCAATAAAGAAGTTTGGTGACATGTTGAAATTTGCTTGTATGTGAAAAATACTACAAATTTCCTTGAGTTTTGTCAGTTATCATGGTCAAAAAATGGTCCTTTTTTCAAAATATAGTCATTGTACTAACTCGCAAAAATAATAAAAGTAAGTAAAGTCTTACGTTTTTGCTTTCTTCTATGTAATTCATGAATTCCAAATGGCATCTATTTTCTAGTTCGATTTTATTCCTCATATCCATTATAACGAAATTGTGAACATTTTCTTTGTCTTCACATGACATTATGTTTTGTTCCTGTCTAGCTCTCTCCCAGTTTTCAAAGTATGATATTTCATACCGCCCGTATACTGAAAAACAAAAACAACCACTGAAGAAGTAAAGGTAAATGACATCTCCCCTCACAAAGACGGAGTCTTTGGACAGAAGACTCAATCCATAAATGTCATAAATCAATGAGACTTTCCAGGTAATGTGTCGCAAAGCCAAACTTGACTGCCGAATGAGATTTGTCTCCTGTCTTTCCAGAGCCAAAAACGAAGTGTTCACGATGCTTTGTTTTTGAGCTCCGATTTCAACTTTTCCGTTTTGAATTCTAGATATCGCAATTTTTGTCTCTATACAGTAACCAACCTGTCACGTCTTCAACCTCAAATCTAAGTTTCTGGATTTTGGCATTCGTCTCTTCTATGGTTCTTATATTGTAGAGCCTTTCCTCCTCGCATTGGTTTCTAAGCAAATCAATTTGCTCGTCGTTTTCTTTTTTATCTTTCAGTACCTGTTCGTCATCCTCTTCCATGCATCGTATAGCTTTGATACACTCAATTAAACCCCTGAATGTGCCGCCAAATGTTATCTCGTCATTTGCTTCTTTTATCATATTTATTAATATGTTTATATCATTTGCTAATTTTTCGTAATTATTGCTGCAAGAATCCAGACGAAAGTTGGCGTGATTTTCCACTCCCAGGTACCTATTTGAATCAGAAAATCCTAATTAAAAACATGAATGCGTCTTGGGCAAATATTCGAAAAAAAGAGAATATACTTAAAATTATATTAAACTCATGTACTTATCTACGGAAGCGCAGAAGGGCCATATATTTTTATTATTTGTCTCNAATACACACTCTCTTATTGACGATAACACCGAATCTTCACATAGGACATGCCTGACAGTTTCATCTTCCTGTTCACACATCCTGCATAGGGGTGTGTCGACTAGCCCCATATCATGGAGGTGTTTCCTTAGTTGACAGTGCCCAGTCAGAGTTCCTACTGTTAAGCGTAGGTTTTTTTTGGTCATCGCCAGATATTTCTTCGGCGCCAGCTTCCCAGGGTCGCCCAGGGTGATCCTGGCAAAACTGCATCCTTTGATTCCATCCCATCTCTTTAGGGATTGAGCATAGGTGTGACGTTTGGCTGGTTCCGCAATTGTCGAAGTCATCAGGCCGTAGGTATCACTGGTTCCTAAAATTCTTATTCCAGCCGTTTCCTTGGCTTAAGAGTCGATAATGTGATTATATTCACCTCTGTCGCAATCTAGTACTAGCCCTGAGGTAACGCGTTGTCTGATTAAGGCTAATAGGGCTTGTCTACTATCAGTGCAAATTGTTATGTTTTTGCCAGAAATTCCTTTCCTATGATTACGGTTTTGTTTTTGACCAAAAAATTTACGAACAAGCAATGACGAGTAAACAAGTACATTATCGTGATGCAAAAGCTATAATATGTTTTTCCACAATGCCAGATGTTTTCTTCGTATTACTTCTCGCAAGCGGCACATAACTTCAAGATAATACTCCTTATTGACCTTACGACCATGTGTCTAGAAATCCTGATTCACTACGCCAAGAAAATCTAAAAACACTGAGCAAAACCTTGCCATTTCATCGAACATGACGTGCTTTTTTGATCTTGGCTCTCCTGGGCCTTCCATTCATATGACTGGACTTTGGTTTCGGAGTCATAACCATATACACAGGATTTATCACCAGTTATGACCCTTTTGGGCAAACTGAATCGTCGTTGACGTTATTCAACAACTCCTAAACGATGCTCATGCGACGGATGTTTGGTGAAAATTCAGCAATTTTGGAACGAACTTCTCTAGCACACGCTTCATGCCCAAAATTTCCGAATGAATTGCATGCCGACATCCTCATCAACTCCTTTAATAGTGTTTGGACCACGCTTAATAGTGTTTCACCTTTCACCTATCACCTATAGGTGATAGGTGAAAGGAGAATAGTCTTCTCTCGGAGAAAAAGTCCAAGTCATCATCCGAAGACAATTGTGGATACTCACAATCGAAACTTTGTGAAGTAACTTGGTTTTGAAACCTTATTGATTTATATTTTTTTTATTTGTTAATTTTTTTATTTTTCGCTTATTTTCTATCAATTGTAATTTCATTTCACGGTTTATTGCTCAATATAATTATTATTTTTTCAGTTATTCGTTTCAATTTTATTAATTATATTATATTAGACAATGAAAGTCCGAACTAGAAAAGTTAAATTTGTAATTTATTAGTATGGTGAACAATTTCACTGAATGAATTATTTTCAATTTCTGCTCACATTCTGTATCAAACTTTCTTTTTGAGAAAATATCACGAAGGTAACATGGAAATAGTCATTTTCCATCATCTTATGCTGGCTTTTTCATTTCAACTTTTCAACAGTAGTTAATCCAATTTTCCATTTCTGCATTTAACTTGATCCTCTTTCGTTGAATAACTGATGGCAATAGTCAACTGATTCACATCAATGTTTGTCCAGTATACAGTACACAGTATACCAGTATATACATTAAGAGAGAAAAAGGAAATGTTAGACCTGCTCACGGTTTGTTTGTCACGGAACGATTTAGTACGAAGTTTTGTGCATTGGTATAGATATGTGGATGATATCCTGGTATGTTTCACAGAAACGAACAGACAGTTGACTTACTTTTTGAATTTCATCAATTCTCTCCACCCTTCTATCACATTTACAATGGAGATGGAAAAGGACGACAATAACAAAAAGTTAACAACAAATATGACTTTTCAATTCATCATAAACCGGTACATACAGATATTATCATTCATAATTTGTCTACCCACCCGTATCAGCACTTAGTAGCAGCTTTCAACATTATGATCCACAGACTGATAAATGTGCCCTTATCAGAGGCGAATTTCAATAAAGAATTGAATATAATAAAGCAAATAGCCGTCAACAACGATTACGATAGAAGTCTAATACATTTTTTATTATCAAAAAATTGAACACCCAAGATTTGAAGGAACTTTACCCAATTCGAAGAGATAATGATAAAAGTTATAGAACCTTAACCAACTTTGGCCAACTCACTACAAATATTTCAGATTTTCTGCACAACAGAGGGATAAATATTGCTTTCAAAACCAACAATAACTCAGGCATGCACATTAAGAATAACACAGATAAAAGTTTAGTTTCAGAAAAATCGGGAGTGTATAAATTATCATGTGGGTCATGTCCGGTGTTTTATATAGGTCAAACTGGAAGAATGTTCAAAGCCCGTATAAAGGAACACAAATATAGTTTCCAGAATGGAAAAATAAATTCCACATATGCCACTCATTTACTCACAGAGAAACATGAGTTCAACCATGAATACAAGCTCCTCCATTTCCTGAAGAGAGGTTTGAAACTTATCCTGTTGGATAGTATGGAAATTCAAAAACCCTCAATATCTTATGCACGACCGAACTGATTTGAATAATTCACCATTATTGAATATGTTCATTTCCAGGTACAAATAGTTAAGTATATTTACACTACTTCCGAGAAATTTATTCATATAGTTATTGAACTCATACCTGACCTTTTCAGGTAGATTCATTCATTGGAAAGTAGGCATACGAGTAGTTTACGTTTGAGAAAGCTATTGTATAGCGAAACATGTATCGAGGTTTTGGAAAAACCCTTCATAGTGAAAAACATACAACAAACTGTAATAATTAGTTTCAATCTATCAGAATTCCAATCTCCGATTTTCCAACCCCCATTCTTCTGCAATAAATTGGTTCAGTTTCAATAATTATATCACTTCTATATCAAGGAAAAATGCAAAAAACTAATGGCTGAATATCTGCTCTCACCAAATGTTTCAAAAAGATGAATCAAGGTCTGCAATAGCAATAGTAGAAAAAAAATTCCATACAAGAAGTCCATGAAAAACATTTCAGATTCATGATTGGTGACCATTAGTCATAAGTTCTACCCTTTCAAGTATTTCTAGGTATAAAATGGCACTTTACCTTTCTGGAACAGTCACATATTCCACCACCTCTTCACTGAAATTTATGTCATTTGGTACATTTATGTTTCTCAGGATATAAAGCTGATCCAAACACTCATTTAGAATACCTCTCACTACAGTTTTGATGAATTTACTTTTCAGTCCACCAGTATCGGTTCCTAGAAGATCCTTCAGAAGCATTTTTAGATTGTTCTGTCAAGTGGACAGAATCAATATTGAATGATTTTTTATCAATTCCAAATGCTGCTTGATCAGAAAAAAGTTTTATTCCTTTTCTATTCCTATGACTTTCTATGACGCTGGCATGTGTACGAAGTTGTCGCACTAAAGTTGAAGTTTTCAGTTTCATAATTCACAATATCGGAACGTGAACACTCATTTTGAATTGGGAGAATATTTATTGTACACTATTGTAGATGATGACCATTTCTAAAAAGTGAGAGTCAAAACAAAATCATACAAAACTGGAGTTTTCATGAGTAACAAAAAAATTGATAATAAACTTTTAACTTTCCCAAAGTGGAAAGAAAATAAATTCCTATTTACAGATGAATGCTAGAAGCAAGACCTCAATCTCAAAACTGCAATATGGCTGATTCATTCTTAGCAGAATGCTGAGCCAAACTTTTATATTTACTTCTTTCATCTCTGAATCGTACTTCGGAATATAACTCTTACTTCCAGGGTCTCTTTACACAAATATTTCTATATACTGCGCAAAAGTTGATTGAAAATATACACAGTATTAATTTCGAAGTACAGGTTTTTCCTTCCAGGGTTGAATGAAGGAAAATTTTCGATCAAAATATGTGAGAATTTTTCGTTGATGAACGAACGATTCAGTTTTGGTTCTTGCTATTGAATTAAGAGGAAAAGTAACATTAAAAATTAAAACGTTTTCATTCAAAAATCATTTTTCATCAAGAAAGCCATTGAAATGAAAAAAAAAATCTTTTTTACAATTGCGTGATTTGATGCTGTGTTAATATTGACTTGATTCTTAATACTCGACAGTAAGATGCTAGATAGTCCATTTGCTGATAAAATTGCAGCTGCTTCAATTATATATTGAACATCCACTTTGTATTGAAGTCTGAACAACTACAAGAGGAAATTTTTTTCACGAAGTCAAGTTTCAAAAACATATTTTGAAAAATAGTTCTATTGAATGAGTTTATGTGATGAAAATAGATACAGAAAATGAAAATAATTCAGTTATTTTTGGTTGTTCACAACTCAAATCTATTAGTCCTCGTTGAACTTATGTCTCTCTGCGAAATGACGGTTTCTGAGTGTGAAATTACCGTAATTTTCTTCAGTTCCATGGGAGAAAGTTCTTCCCGTTTGTCCAATGTGACGTTTTGACCAAGAACCACAAGTCAACTTATATATTGATCAATCATTTATTTAATTTTGTGGAACTTACAGAGTTATAGAACAAGTCAATTTGGAAAAAATCCTATAAATAAAACACAAAACAATGAGAGTATCAACACTGAACATGGAAAGTATATAAGCATATAACTAAAATTAAACTGATTATGACAATATGTAAGTCATATGGTATGAAATCAAAACTAAATCAATTCTAGAAATTCTAGAGTTGGAAGTAAGGACACAGATCTATCAAGACTTTTATAGTTGTCTTTTAAATTTATAAGTTGGCAGACTTCTTAGATTGTATGGGAGAAAGTTGTACAGGTACAAACCAAAAGTATTTGGTGCTATTTTGGATAGTTCCAGGTTTTTGAAGGGCACGTAAAAGCTATTTTTTTCCTGGTATTGTGAGTATGAGTGTCAGTGTTTCTTAAAAAGTTATTTCGATTGCCATGTATGTATCTCATTAGCTCAAGAACGAATATGCCGGTAACAGTTAATATTTTTTATTCTTTGAAAAAAAATCAACATGAGTGATCAGGTGTAGAGCCCACGAGAAATCTTGAGGTGCGTATTCACCAAAAAAGTGAGCACGAGCGAACATGAGCGAGCATTTGTGAATGTTTGCTCGTATTCGCTCATGTTCGCTCGTGTTTGCTCGACATATTGATGTTTCGTCCACACCAGAGCAAATATCTTCAAGTTCATAGTCGTAGTTAATCCATCCTTAGCTCGCACAAGTTTCTCAACTTCTGAGAGTTGTCGTTCGTATGCTGATTAACGGAAAAACAGATTCTAAACAGATTTTTAAACAGATCTACTTTGTGCGAGCACCTTTTGATGTACCGCCTTTTTCTCAATATTTTCTGAACACGAACAAGCATACGTTCGCTCGCTCGCTAGCCCGTACTCACCAGCGAACGTATGCTTGTTCGCGTTCAGAAAAGATCGAGAAGAAGGCGGTACTACGAACTTGAAGATATTAGCTCGGGTGTGGACGAGACATCAATATGTCGAGCAAACACGAGCAAACATACACGAATGCTCGTTCATGCTCGCTCTTGCTCACTTTTTTGGTGAATACGCACGTTTACGATGCGCTTCTGAGACACAAAAACACTATGTGCTGCTGGGATATTTTCCCAGACAATAATTGCATAGGATTCTAATATAATCAATTAGCATTTTGGAAGTAATTATAAAATACCAACACAATAAAACTGTTGCAGCACCATGAAATTATAAAACAATTTTGCTGGTTGGGCACTGAAAAGTTAAATTAGTGATTAGCTTTCACGCATAAATTTTGTCTACAAATTGAATAATCGATAAAAACATTTCACATATCTTGTTTCATACAGGGTACACCGCGATGACCGTCGGTTAGCCGTATTTTGAAAAATAATGTCCGGAAAAATTGACAAACATATAGTCTGACACTCTCTAGATGAAAACAACCCTGTATTTCAGTCATTTTTGAAAGCAGATATTTGATTTTTGGTACAGGCATAAACCTTCATAGGCCGCACTTTTCGCAACAATTATCTCGAGTGACGGTTTCGAACGCAGTATACTGTGTTACTGCGAAAAAGCAAGTTCTCGATATTTTGCTTCGCGTTGATGATACCGAAATTATCGGTTACTAAAAAACCACAGAGACGTCAGTTGAAATTAAATGACAATTAATGAAGCGATTTCAACAGGTTGAATTTTATGACCAGATTCCTAGTGCAATAAAACGCATAGTAAGGTACGAATAACTTTTATTTGTGTTGAGTTCAATATGTCAGAATCGAACACAGTAAGTTTCAACCATTACTGCTGCTTCTATGAACCACCACTGCTGGAAGAACAACGAAAGTACAAATTAAAATATATTTTTAGAAGTATCGATGGTAGTGTGTTTGGATTCAGGGGAGTTTTTCACCGTTTTGTAGTAGATAGAGATGACTTTGAATTTTAGGATTATGTTAGGAGGTTCAAAATGTGTCACAACACCCCCCTTTTTATTATTTTTTTTCAATGTGACGCCCAGACATCCTCAATGTTAATCTAAAGTATAGTATTCGTGCATCACATTCATAACCTCAAGTTTTAATTTAAATCATCTAAAAAAACTATACGTTCAAGCCAGTCTCCACTCCCTACACTACGTTAATGGACTGACATCTATCAGAAAACAACTACTCCCCTGGCTAATACCACGAAGGGTGTCGGATTATATCCGACAGGTGTCAGTGCAGGATTCTTCACTGAAGTTGTTCCTGCATATACTGTTGGCGATACAACTGCCGCAATAGATTTTCAATTATTGGAACACTCTTGCAGACCGGTTTCGGGCTGTTTGGCCATTCGTCAGTGCAAGGTAGTGTTTATCAATAACATAAAATCGATGATTTTCGATATATGAAAATCGAATTCCTTCAGAGTATCATTCCTCGAACTAAGCTGAAGCATACAACAAACAACAGGTTTGTCATCGCCCTATCTGCCAAACAATTGGAAACAAAATTCATAACTGAAAACTTGAACGTTTGTTTGAAGGTGATTGACAATGTTTCGTGATGAATTTCACTAGTTCGGACTCCCATTGTCTACTATATAAAATGATTTGAAATCCCTGAAACAAGTAAAAAAGAATAATTAAAAAAGAATAGTTGAAAATAACAATTATATTAAGCAACAATAAACCTGAAATGAAATGATAGT